ATTAAAACTAGGTAAACAAACAAACAAACAAACGTTTGAATGGTAGTGTACAGTAAGTCTATCATATTATATTATAAAAGTAATCAGACTGGCAAAGAAACTTTCAAATCTTATACAAAATACAATTCTCGACTCATTTCAGTCATAAAAATCCACATACCGGTAATCAGATCCACAATCTACTTTCTGTGAAGATATCGGTCTATTTTATGTCTTTATTATAATTCTGTTGAATTCTATTCTATTCTGCCACACAACAAAATAAAGTATAATTTGTGTAAATAACCAGAATACAATGTATACTGTATGGTAAATATAAAATGGTAAACCAGGCGTACAGACAGTGCTCATAATTACATTCATTTATTCAATATATTTTTTTAAAATAATTATAAATTGAACCAACATAATTAAAAATAAATGAACCATAATGTATCTAATCACTGTCAGAGAAAATAATCTTTTTCACCTTGTGAGTTGTCCGCTGTGAATCCTGGACTCAGTGGAGGTTCGGAGTCTTGGGACCTCAGAGTTTTCTCTGTCTCTGTGGTGAGAGTCAAGCCCTCCATCAAATCGTCCATGATGTCATTGGCACAGCACAGCTATAGAACGCATGGCACCATCAGTGTCAAACATAAAGCCAACATCCATAGAGAAAGGATTGACTTCAAGAGCATCACCTTCTGGAGTTGAGGATCTACTCTCCATATCCTCAGGGTTTGATCTCTGGACCATGTGACCAGCTGGCAGTCTTTGGAACCTAAAATACAGAATGGATAGTGCAAGACAATAATTCTTGTCCATTCATAAAGTCAAATTGAAGCCCTCATTCAGAGTTCTGCTGGTTGCTCCTCTCACCTTCTTTCTGCGGCCTCCACTGAAACTCAAGCACAACATCATCATGGCCCACGAACGCATGAACGGGACTATTCAGTTCCAGAGTGCTCCAGAGGAGGAGGCTGTTCTCTCGCCGTAGCTGAGGAACCATCACTGTAACCAGTCCGTTAGAGAAGGGCTGAATGGAAGGGGATGAAAAAAATTCATCTTTACTGAAATAATAAATTACATTTCAATGGTGCGAGAATAAGGGAAAAAATAGCTATCAGTCAAATATTTAGAATAATTAATAAAAAAAGTCTTTTATGCTCAGCAAGGCTGCATTATTTGATCAAAAATACAGTACTATTGTGTAATATTATTTACATTTAAAATAATTGTTTTATTTTTTATTTAATCCTGTGATGCAAAGCTGAATTTTCAGCATCATTACTCCAGTCAACAGTGTCATATGATCCTTCAGAAATCATTCTAACATGCTGATTTGCTACTCAATTATTATTGATGTTCAATCATAAGTAATGGTTCTGATTATTATAAATTTTTGTGTACATTTTTCAGGATTCCTCAATGAATAGAAAACTCAACTAAAGACTGGAGTAATGATGCTGAAAATTCAGCTTTGTATTAAAGCAAGGAATACATTACATTTTAAAATATATTAAAGTAACAAAAAATTCTTTTAAATTTGAATACTTTTACAATTTTACTGTTTCTACCATATATTTGATCAAATAAACACAGTCTTTGTGAGCATAAGAGACTTTTTTTTCCAAAACATTGCAAAATCTTAATATTCCCTTAATTATAACTTTTTCCCGGTGGTGTAATTGTCACCAAATTTTCAATCAACAAGTTTGGTTAAACATTTTTAGCTGATTTTTTTAAAATAGATTATATTTTAAATGAATTAAAATAATGATTTGTATTGTACCGTGTATCTGGCCTTCCACACAGGCACCTGACATGACAAGATATCAAGGTACTTCCGGGGTTGTCTGTAATCCCAGAACTTTAGGGGTAAATCAGGTATAAGGTAAACTGCAGCAAACACAATAGAATGTGAACAATATGATCAATAATTGTGATAATAATCACCCGAACAGAGTTGTCCTGACTGGAAGTAGCCAGGATGTACTCGTTATCAGGGTGCCAGTCCAGACCATGAATCTTTGACAGGTGGGCGGCTACATACTCCACTGCAGTGTTGGGTTTCTGAAACACACTACAATCAGTCAAAAACAATATCTGCAACAGATAAGCTTTTAAATACTAATTTCTCAATTGATAAAAACTTTTTTTTAAATACAACTATTTGTGCAGGATGTGGGAACAATGCGATTTCTGTTTACTATTAAAAACTTTGGGATAGAGAATTTTTATATATTTTGAAAGATGATTTGCATGCTCACCAAAGCTGCATTTATTTAAAAAAAAAAAAAAAAATTTTTAAATGTAATTTATTCCTGTGATGACAAAGCTGAATTTTTAGCATCATTCCTCCAGTCTTTAGTCTCTCATGATCCTTCAGAAATCATTCTAATATGCTGATTTACTGCTAAAGATACATTTCTTATTATTATGTTGAAAACAGTTGTGCTAATTAATATTTTTTGGAAACTGTGATACTTTTATTTTCAGGATTCTTTGAAAATAAAATTTGTAACACACTCCTGTTCCCAAACTTTTAAATGGAAAGTAAACAGATTGGCAGTCAAACAAAGATCTGACTGATAAACGACACCTAGAATGATGATGCAATCTTGATGTAGCAAGTAACAGAATGACATAATCACCCTCTTGTCCCAGATTCTGACATCACCATCATGACTTGATGCCAAACAATAGTGATTCCGTCTGTTCCACTTCACCTGAGAGGCTCCGGCTAAAACATAGAGGAAGAGTGAGAAAATTAAAAGTCAAAAGAATAAATAAAAGTTTTGACTAATACATTACTGTATATCCCATTGAGTCTTTGCACTCACCCACGGCAGAAAGGGCCACGGTTGGTTTTCGCGTGTCCCTAGAAATCAAGAAAGAAAAGCGTAAAACATTGAATGTCCCACAAACTCTTCATCATGTGTTCTTTCTCCGCGCTCACCTTGTGTCCCATATGTAAATGTATGTGTCCACAGAACTCGTGACAAGCAATTCTGGATCAAACCACGACCAGTCTAAATCACTGAAACATCAAACCACATAAAAACTTATACTCATGTATTATTTGTTATTAGAATGCATCATATTCATACTCAAGTGAGATCAACTCTCAATAAATACTGTTTAAAAGCAGATTCATGATTCAAGTTACATGATGACTACTGTTTATTGCTATATAGTATAGTTTACATTTTGCAAGGATATAAAGATAAGGTATGCACTTTTTTTGATCATGCATTGTCTCGTCATTGTTTGAATAAGTAGCATTTCAGCACGGCGTGATCTGTATTACCTTATAACGCGTGTATGCCCTTGCAAAGATGTATGTGCTTGACCGGATCCATCACGCCAAACGTACAGGTCAACTCGCTGATTACTCTTTGCAAAGATAAGGAAAATATATATTTACAGAATTAAAATAAATCATAAAATAAATACTCAGTAGACAATAAATACGACTCATCTCTCACTCTCACTGATCATTATGACACTGTCATTAATCAGCAATAGATAATAACTACTTCACGTACAGATGCAGCAAATAAATGGGCCTCGGTTTTGTGCGGATTCCACTGAACTGTCCCAACGTCCCATTTGCTCTGGCGGCTGATTTTGCGTGGAGCTTCGGACGGCGTCTCCAGATTGACAACATATAAGAATCGCCTCCTATTAAAAAAAAAAAAAAAAAAAAAAAAATCACATGTGAAAAAAGTAAATACGGTGTGGTATAACAATGCATGTAGGAAGGCATTTAAAAACTTAAAAATAGAGATATGAGAAGTATAGAAACTCATTTGTGCCACATATGATGAAAATAGGCTTGTGTAAATTATGATTATGCCATAAAAAGATATAGAGATAAAAGAGATAAGAAAAGAAAAAAGACATGGGTCATAATTATGAGAAAAATGATGACATACTAAGTCATTATGAGATAAAAGTCAAAATAATGAGATAGAAATTTATGGAAATTCCATAGAAAATTATGGAAACCCGTTTCTGCCACATAAGAAAAAAATGCTAGTCCATCTATCCATCCATCCATCTTCTTCCGCTTATCTGGGGCAGGATCGCGGGGCAGCAGTCTAAGCAGAGATGCCCAGACTTCCCTCTCACAACTCTTCCGGGGGAATTCTGAGGCGTTCCCAGGGCAGCCGGGTGCATAAGGGTGTGTTTATAATTCCACATGCTGATGTGACATTAACCAAAGCTGTACACACCCTGAGAGAACAGCATGCTGGCCGAGACAATCCACCGACATTGCAGTAGCCTGAAAACAGAAAAGTCTCTCATGACAACATATAAACTGCAAAAAAAAAGGCTGCATAGATGTTGTATATTATTCCTTTTTACCCTTCTAAATGTAACTTGTAGGCTACACAATGAAAAAGCATGCTTACATTGTAAACCGGTCGTATTATCTTTAAAATAAAATAAATGACACTTAGTTTTATAGTTTATATCTAATGTTAATTCTAATGACATTCAGACATGTTATGTGTAACTTATACATAACTCTGCACTCTGCAACTCTCAATGTAGCCTATATAACTTATGTTGGAACTCTATAAAATGACTACACCTGCTGGGAACTCATTACTATTACTAACGAGTAGTAAAGTCTTTTCTTCTTTTGACAACACGTTTACTGTAATGATTGTAAATAATACTAATAACTGAAAGTACAATGTTTACCATGATAAGTTTGTAAGGGCATCACACCTGGCTTAATAAACAAAGAATGGGATTCAATCAAAGTTTTAAATACGTCGCTCAGGATTGACATGACAGGTGTGCATGTTTATTGGTCTAATGTTTACGAAAACGACACTTCTAACGCACCTAATACCTGCGTGCAGGTGTAGTGACTGTGTACCTGTGCATCTCGAAACTCCACCACCACATTCTCACTACTCCAGCGGGCCGCCATCTTCACCCACCAGAACGTCAACAAATTACGTGAAACTAACGGGACAACAGTGTCTTCTCGCGAGAGTTCATGTTTGAAGCTACGCACGCTTCTCCCCCATACTGTCAAGATGGAGGCGATCATGGTGGAGCATGTTGTGGCAGATACTGGTGCTTTTATTAAAAGAGCTTCTCTGCACGTGAGTTATTGTTGATAAAGTTGGCTTCTGTTTTTTTAAACTATTTTAATGCTGCTGTCCTGAAATGTTAGTTTGACTCAGGATAAAGGACGAAACTGGTATGTGCGTGCTGGTGCAGTATGTGTATGTTACTATAATTTAGAATAAATAATTGACGCATTGTATGTGGGCACGATTGTGAAACATTAACAGAAAATAGCGTGGCAATGCCACGCGTTTCCACAGTGATCCATAGTAGTAAAGTTACATTAGTGTATTAAAATGTTGTGGGAGTATACAATTTGCCATGGCGCATCAATAAATTCAATCATTCAGCACCAGGGAGAATGCAGACAAGCTGACACCTCCCGGTTGGACAACTGATTAAAACATAAAGTTTAGTGATAAGTGATATTTAAGTGATACTTAAATGTATTCATAATATTACTTTGTTTGTGTGTGTGCATATGTGCATATGCTCCTGCGTGTATAATGCATAGAATGAAAGCATGCATTTTATCCCTTGTCACATTGTTGTTTGTGTTTTACTTCGTTTTAGGAAATTGGAAAGAACATTTATACCTCGAAGGATGTTGTTGATGAAATTCGGGATAAACCAACTAAAAGGAGCTTGGCTTTTTTGCCATACAAGCTCAATTTCAAAGAACCATTTCCAGAGTACATAAGATTTGGTAATAACAACTTTTAATATTGTTGATGCATCATACTTTAAAAGTCTGTCTTTATTTATTAATTTATTAATTTGACAGGGACAGCGTACATTAATTAACATTGCTGCAAATGCACCAGAATTAGCCAAAAGGCTATTCTTCATCCGTTGTCCCTGCCTGGACAGATTTTAAAATTGTTGACCTAAAAAACCAAAACAAAACCACAATAAGAAGATTACAGTGAACAATACAAATATAGAAAGCAGTAAAACAGATATAACTCTTCAAATCCTGTTGATAAATACACTGTACAAGTTTGCTATAATACAGACATTGTTAAAAAAATATATACATATACTGTATATATATATATATATATATATATTATACACTTTAACACATCAGAGACACATTTGGGTGCTTGAAGTATGTAATGGTGGTGACTTATGCATATTATTTTTTATTTACTTATTATATCACAGTGACAGAATTTGCTAAAAAGACAGGAGACTATCCCAGTCTTTCAGCAACAGACATCAAGGTCTTGGCTCTGACTTATCAACTGGAAACTGAGAATGTAGGAACTGACCATTTGAAGAAAGAACCTGAGAAAAAGGTAATGATGTTTAATTCAGATTTGAATTCACATGCATTCACATTTGTTCTGGTTTAAGACACTGTTTTATTCGTGTTTCAGGTCGAAATTTGCAGTACACAAAGACATCCAGAGACTCCTGTTGGCATTGCTGGTTTCCATTTGCCATCAAAAGTAAGCCATTACTTATAAATGCAATCTATATTTGAATTATGTTATTTAAATGAATTTCCCAGGCTTATTCCATTTTGATTTAGATACAGGGTCATTTTTTTAAATGTGTGCCATGGCTGGAGAGAACACGTCATCAGTTTCTGAGCTTTTCTCCGCATTATTCATGAGAATGAACTATTTTAATCAAATCACTGTGCTATATTATAAATGAGATCACATTACAGCAGAGAATTGAAATGTCATGTCAATCAAAAGCCTGTTCAGCTTTGCTTTGTTGTCATTCAGACTTAAAGGGATACTCCACTTTTTTTTAAAATAGGCTCATTTTACAACTCCCCCAGAGATAAACAGTCAAGTTTTACCGTTTTCCAATCCATTCAGCCGATTTTCTGATATTTAGAAGAATATCAGTAACCAGACAGTTCCTGGTCTCATTGACTTCCATAGTATATTTTTTTCCTACTATGGAAGTCAATGAGACCAGATACTGTCTGGTTACTGATCTTCTTCTGCATGTCAGAAAATCGTCTGAATGCATTTGAAAACGGTGAAACTCAACTGTTTAACTCTGGGGGAGTTGTAAAATGAGCCTATTTCCAAAAAAGTGGAGTATCCCTTTAAGAGTCGTAAGTGTATGTTTCCTCAGTACAGTGACACAAAATGTTGTTTTGTGGAGTTTGACTACCAATGAGAGCGGTTTCTGCACGGAGCAGTGCGATGAGTTTAACAATGCGGATCACAGTTCATAGCTGTTTTCTTCAAATGAGATATACATATGTGCGAAAAAGGGGCATCAGCGCAATGACACATTCAATTATTCTGATACACAAAATACAAGGATGTAAATAATTTTTTTTTTAAATGGATGAAAAAGTAACTGCCTTTATTCTTTCTTTTCTAATCTGATGTGTGATTTGTAGTGCTTGTAAACTTAATGTAAATATTGATTTGAAATAAAAAACTCAATGTTCTTCCTCTTTTTTTCATATAGACCAGTAACTCTGCAAAGTTATAATGCTGATTTGTTGATATTTCTAGAAATAATTTATCAAAACGTATTTGATTTGTTCATGATAGTTGTTTAGTAGTCTCTAATGAAAACATTTTTGTGAGCTTGATGTCATGAGATTTTATTTTTTTCAAATGGGTTGCCCCCTGTTTTTTTCTTGCTTCATATTTAAATATTCATTTGTCTGTAATGTGTTGCAGATCTGTGTTTTATTGCTTTTTTGTCTTTACAGTCCCACGTTTCCACAGCGTTACACTCCCATTTCCAAAAATATTTTCAGATATTTTTGATTAAATCTGAGAGGGTTTTGAACCAGCCATAGGCAGCAACAGTATTACAACTTTCAAGGCCCAGAAAGGTAGTAAAGACATCGTTTAAATAGTCCATCTGAATACAGTGCTTCAACCTTAATGTTATGAGAATATTTTTGTGTGAAATAAAACCAATCAAAAATAACCACTTCATTCAACAATCTCTTCTCCTCCATGGCAGTCTGCTATGTTGATCACGTAGTATACGTCAGAAAGCCGGCTCATTATTGGCCGACGCTGTTCACGTGAGCACTACATGTTGCTATGAGGTTGCTGCCTATTGCTGGTTCAGAAACCGGCTGGTTTTGAAATGCCTCTCTGGTTGACATTGTTTATTAATAATGCAGATCTACTTACAATTGGGGCCTATCCATCTATTAATTTAATCTATTAATTTTTCCAAAAAGTCATCAGGTAAACCAGGAACAGTCCAACGATCTACTACTAATGAGCCACGAGACCGTGATAATTCACAATTCAACAGCTTTCATTTTTGGAGGAATCCTCTGCCCAGCATTGAGGCTGATATATTGGAAATGCTGGTGAGGAAACAGATAACATCTAAACTTCTGCCACAATCATGTTAGACAATTAAGTAAAACTTAAGTATTTTCCTTGTTTCTTTACTTCTCCGTAGGCGGCTGACGCAATCACAGTTACAAACAAACTAGAGTCTGTTGATCTGTCAGCTGACAGTCGCGCAGCTGAATCTGAAGAACATGATGGGACTAAAGGAGACCAACATGAGGAAGAAGGAGAACAAAGCAATGATGATGATTACGATGCGGAGGAGGAGGAAGAAGATGAGGATGGTGGCGGTTGGATTACTCCCAGCAACATTAAGCAAGTTCAGATGGATGCTGGTAACTGGGTACCCTCAGCAGACGTCAAAGTGGGCTGCGTGACCACTGACTTTGCCATGCAGGTACTTGTGGTCATTCACTAGAGATATTGGAAATAATCATTTAAAACTGGGCCTTGTTTACATCAGCAGAAAAAAAAATAAGAAAGTTGCTAGATTAGGAAAACCAGCATTCTTTACAATAAGGTTCCATTTGTTAAAGGAGAGCTATTATGCCCCTTTTCACAAGATGTAAAACAATTATTTGATGTCCCCAGTGTGTGTATGTGAAGTCTTAGCTCAAAATACCCCACAGATACATTTTTTATAGCATTTTAAAATTGCCAAATTTGGAATACTCCACAGATAAACTGCCAAATTTGGGCTTGTGCAAAAACGCACCGTTTTAATGTGTTTCCCTTTAAATGCAAATGAGCTGCTGCTCCCGCCCCACTTTTCAGACTTTTTTACGTCTGTCTGGCAAGCAATAAGTTATAATTATGAATATTACTTGTGTTAACTGGATAACTGGTAAATTTGTTACGACTAGAGTAACATTGGTCAACATGTACGTAAAAATGTATCAAAGAAAATACAATAATTTGCCCTTAATCTATAAGGGTGTGTACACAGATGATACACTGACTGTACAGTACCCAATTTTGGGTTAAATTATGACTTTATATTACTGTGCGGCAAAGGGACATTATTTTTCTGCCAACCAGAGCACACATAACCGCATAGTGACGTCACGGGCGAAGATCCCTATTACTTACTTATATGTATAATTACATTACACCGTAATACGGACACCTTAAAAAAATGTAACAATAGAAATGTATTAAATCTATTTTATACAACAAAATCATCTTGTTTTCCTTACAGAATGTGCTGATTCAGATTGGACTGCATGTGCTGTCTGTTAATGGCATGCTCATTAAAAACACCAGGAATTACATTCTGCGCTGTCATGCCTGCTTCAAGTGAGTGATGGACTGAAAAATGGAAAATAACCATTTTGTACTAGCAGCAATAATTACACATTTATAATAATATGTGATGTGTGTAACACATGGATACAGTAATTATATATTGATTATTATTTTTTTCAGGACAACAACAAATATGAACAAATCTTTCTGTCCAAATTGTGGGCACGACACCTTGAAGAAAGTTGCAGTCTCAGTGAATGAGGACGCCACCATGCAAATGCATTTTTCCAGGAATCCCAAAGTGCTGAATCCAAAGGGGAAGAGAGTGAGTAATAGTTTTGATAATAATCTAATAAAAATGCATTAGAAATCATGTTTATTTGGTCCATCGTTTACAAATTAAAGACATTTGTATTATTAGTAGTTTCATATAAATGAATGTTAGTGACATGTACGTATGGTTTGTCTCTTCTCCGGTCCTCTGTAGCACTCTTTGCCTTTGCCTCAAGGAGGAAAACACGCCAGCAACCCGCACCTGGTGGAAGATCAGCGTTTCCCCCAGCAGAGGTTATCTAAAAAAGCTCGGCAGAAGACCGATGCGTTTGATCCAGATTACCTGGCCGGCAGCTCCCCGTTCTCTGAGCACGATGTCTACAGCAAGTCAGCAAGCTTACATCTGCGGGACGCCCAGACCGGAGGAGGAAGACGACGGACAAATCCAAATGCAGCACGCAAAAAATTTGTTAAGAAGTGATTGTGTTCTCACACTACCTGCAGAATCTGGACTGAAAGCCTGAAACGTTGCATTCAGAAAAAATTAATTAAAATATTTTTATATTGATTTATCTGAATCTTCAGTTTCATCTTTCTCTTAACTTTAAAGTCCTCCTGTAGTTAATACTTCCATCTTTGACCAATTTGCTTTTAATTGGTTGAATGTAATTACACCCTTGCTTCATTTAGTATAAGTGGGCCCATGAATATGCAAATTAGTCTTTGCCTCCACTCACTCACACCAGCTCAAAATACCTGATCCACTCGGTCAACTTTACTGTAGTAAACGCTGCACAATGGCAAGAGAAATACTGGTTTAATTCACCCATATGTTTGAACCAGGAACTCATTAGAAAGAAGTGGAAGAGTGAATTTTGCTTGACTTTATTAAATGTGTTGCTAATGTTACACAGAATATGTTCCTGTTCGCCAAAATCTGCATCCTTAGAAACGCATCTTAGAACGTCGGTGGAGAAAGGCGCATAGTTCATCATAATATACATAATTGACCCGCTATATTGCTAAATGTACCCAGGATAACCTGGCTTCTCTTGAGACTCGCCCACCCCTACGTTGACGGGATTGGTTACAAGGTAGTTTGTGATGTAAGAAACACCAGTGATTTCAAACCGTGTTTTTGAGACTGTGGTTCACTGCAATTAAAAGGAGAAATTGTGTTAACATGAATTTGGTTTGTTTTAAAGCACATTAAAAATACCACAGACATATAAACTACATTTAACAACTTCATTTTCACCACAGGGGGTAACACTTTACAATAAGGTTTCATTTGTTAACATGAGTTATCTATATTACTTAACATGAACATCAATAATAGTTTAAACATTTCAATAGTCAATGGTAATTTAAACACTTATGCACACATTTTTAAAATCCTGTTGTACTTGTTAATATTACTTAATATACTGTGAACACATGAACAAATCGATTCTTATTAATGTAAACAAAGATTAATACTTTACAAAATATATTGATAATTGTTATTTTGTGTTAACTAATGTTCACAAACAAGACCTTATTGTAATGTTAGCAAATTGTGAAATGGAAATCTTATTTTTGTGCTGATTTTTTGGGCCTGGTTTCACAGACAGGGCCAGGCCTTAGTTTAATTAGGACATAAAGTTATTTTTTATAAACATGCCTTAGAAATAAACATTACTTGTGTGCATCTTGAGAAAAAAAAAATAATGAGACTGATATATTTTAAGACATATATATGTCAGTGCAAGTTGCTTTCAGTTAAAACAGCTCAAACGTTCATTTAAGTCTGGGACTAGGTCTGTGAAACTGGCCATTAATAACTTGCTTTTCAGATCTAGATTTAAAAAAAGTCCAGTTCTTTGCAAAGACGAACAATTCAATGGCTGATTTTTATTTTATTTTAATAAATCTCCCCCCTAAACACCCCGGTAAACAAAAGACATACAAAAGAGGTCAACCAAGTAAATTATGAGCACATAGTAGAAGACCCAAGACCCAATAGAAGACCCAAAATGTTTTTGAATACTTAAGTTAAACTTTATGTTGCACCTGTAGGCAAATTGTAGGCTTTTCACAGAACTCTCTCTCTCTCTATATATATATATATATGTTTTTTGCAATGATGTGTGAAGTCTCAAATGATCAAAATCAAACAGGTGTCTTACCAGAAAGCAGAGAATGTTTCACTTACCACAAATAAACAGAAAATTACACAATTCATTTTGTCTTCATTTTGAACAGTATTTCATGTAAAATGTTTTGCTTAAAGCTCTATCATTTTCTTTCAAATAAAACCATCAAAGCAAAAGGCATTTATTACAATGCAATGACATTCAGACATTTTAAGTGCAACTTAAATGTCGAAATACTTTTTGGGACCACTGTAAGTCAAAAAACATGATCCAACTGACATATTTCCTCCATTTAAATATTATATTTAATTACATAATATATTACATTTTTACCTTCACCAAAATAAAGTTGTCAATAAAATTCTAAAACAAACCCTGGTGTAAGTATGTCCAGATGGTTATTTGCTATACATATTTTAGGACACCTTACACTCATCACACACCATACAGAAATTACTGCTTTTTATTCCGACAACATCTCCTCAACATTACTGCTGTGTGTGGATGAATCATCTGGTAAGTCCTGTACATCAAAGGTCAGTTCGGGCTCTTGGGTCGGGTCGTTTTTCTCTGTAGTGACCGCTTCAGCAGAAATGTTCTCTTTTTGAGAAAGATGAGGATCAGATGCTGAGACAGGTTTTTCTTGTTCTAAAATGACGGGGTTTTCTTCTTGAGGAGTTTCGGGTTTGACTGCAGTCGAGGGATCGGATTCGGCTGTGGTCAGGCTGCTCAGATCAGTGCAGAGATCCAGGACAGCGGTCACAGGCTCCTTCTGGGGCAGAACAAACTCCAGCGGCTCCAGAATCGTGTTCACACTGATGCAGCCTAGACTGCCATACTTATAAACCTGGGTTGGAGGGACACCTACAATACAAATACAAAATACATTTTAAGTTAACATCGTGTTTTATTTTTGTAATGTGAGAAAAATGTTGGCTGGTGCTTGATTTTATCTAGTGGATATTTACCTAAAATGAGTGAAAGCTGGGCTGGAGGAAAGAGAACTTGAAGACATCGGTTCAAGAAAGGCACCATGTCCTCAGCAAATGCACTGCAGAACTGAACGAATAACTCCCGTTCACGGCTACTGAACGCAGATTCCTCTGCTCTGTGGAAAACCAGGATCAGCTTGGTCACCTGACAAGAAACGAATAAAGATGTTAGATCGGGTTTAAGTCAAAACAGGAGATTAGTTGTACAAGGAAGCCAAGCAAATATGTTTAAACTAGGGCTGTCAAACGATTAATCACATCCAAAATAAAAGTTTGTGTTTACAAACTATATGAGGGTGCACTGTGTATAATTATATATATATATATATATATATAAATATACACACACATGCATGTATATTTAAGAAAAAAATAATTATTTATATATAAAATATTTAAATTTAAATTTATTTAAAATATTTAATAATATTTAAATAAATTATATATAAATCTATATACATGAAAATATTTCTTAAATATATATATGCATGTGTGTGTATTTATATATATATATATATATATATATATATATATATCCAGGTCATGTTTGTAAATGAGAAGTGGTTCTCAAACATTTTACCTGGATAAATAAAGGTTAAAAAAAAAAAAATATATATATATATATATATATATATATAATTATACACAGTGCACCCACATATATTATGTAAACACAAACCTTTATTTTGGATACGATTAATCACGATTAATCGCGATTAATCGTTTGACAGCCCTAGTTTAAACTTTTTTCCTTTCATTTGAATTCAGTCAACCTACACTACAGTTTTGGGGTTTGTCAGTAAGATTTTTTTTAATGAATACTATTCAGAAAAAATGTATTAAATTAATCAAGTGACAGTAAAAAATATTCATAAAGTAACAAATGATTTTTATATTTCAAGTAAATATTTCAAAGAATCGTGAAAATCATGTTTCCAACATTGATAATAAAAAACCATTTCTTAAGCAGTAAATCATCATATTAGAATGATTTCTGAAGGATCATGTGACACTGGTGTAAGGACTGGTGTAATTCAGCTTTGCATCACAGAAATAAATTACATTTTAGAATATAAATTTCAATCAATTTCAAACAGAAAACAGCTATTTTAAATTGTATTACTATTTCACAAGATAACCATTTAAACTGTATTTTTTATCAAATAAATTCAGCCTTGGTGAGCATCAGACACTTCTATATTTAAAAAGCTTGTTTAGTATAATAATTAACATCCTTCATTTCCCTGCGTACCTTGATAAGGGCTTCCTCAACGCATCTGCTAACTTCCTGTGCGAGTCCAATAGGACAGCACAGTCTTAAGTCATTGAAGGCTGTCAGGACATTATTGAGGAAGCAGGCCAGAGGTGGGAAATCCAACAAGGCCATGGGGGGTTGCAGTGTGCCCGGCTGGGTGCTCGGGACTGCTGGCGGAATGGTGCTTCCAAGTATCGACGGGTAAGAAATCAGCGTGTACGAGTTCATATCCTCTTGGAACTTGTCCGCCGCTTCCTGAATAGCCTTCCGGAACGTGTCCATGGCAACCTGCTGAAATATTGGAGCGAGTTGGCCACGGAAATCCGCCCCGACCCGGCTAAAGGAAAGGCCGAAGTACATGCACTGGCCAAGTAGAGAATCCAAGCGGCTTCCCACCCCACGCTGGAGGTCCCGATCGAGGGTCTCCAAAAACTGGGCCGCCTGCTGCACCACCCAGCCGTGAAAGATGGCGCTCTCATTCAAAGCCTGATCTCCGGGCGGCAGCAACGGATCCTCGTCGGAGAAGATGGCGCGATACTGGGTGATAATATCGAAGAGATGCACGCGGCAGGTTTCGATGGTCTTTGTAATGTGGAAGTACGGGTCTTCATCTGGGATTGCGGTGAGAATGGATCGCAGCCAACTCCCACGGGCTTGCAGGAATTTGACGCGCAGCTCGGCTTCGGTGAAAACATCCATTCTGCGCAAGTAGCCGATCACACGCAGGCAAACCGGGAGCTGTGAATTGCTCCGCAGCTGCTGAAGAAGTTGGTTCAGCATGAGTTGAGCTGACAATCGAACCTCGTGCACAATTCCCTAAAAGAAGACAAACAGAAAAATTATTTAATATAAATATTTATGTTGTTTTTATAGTCCACCAGGTGAAAACCGTAAGCGTTAGTACTAATTTAAGTCGCATTTTTTTATCATCTAGTGCGACTTGTATTCAAAAACGACTTTTCTAATGCAATTAAAGTCACCATTAAAGGTGTACTATGTAATTTTTAGCAACATCTAATGGTGAGGTTGCGAATTGCAACCAACAGAAATTACGGTGGCCTACAGGACAAGATGTCGTAGTCTGAGAAAGCAGAGAGTAGCCAGTTAAGCAAATAAGTTTCTTAATTAAAAGAAATTAGGTTTACTTAATTATTCAGTTATTTGTTCATCATTTTGTCAATGTTTTATTCGCTTATTTACACAAAGAACAACATAGTGACAAAACTCATTTGAACGCATCGGTTCTGATCCACTGTAGAAACAAGTCGGCGCATTTCAATATAAGGTGACCCGCGGTGTGTGTAGATACAAATGGCTCGTTCTAATGTAATAAAAACATACATTTTCATTAAGTAGGTCTTTATACACCACTGAAAACTGCATTTCTTTAAACAGATCCTCCTAAATTTTACACAATGCATCTTTAAATCAAAATTTAAAGCCCTAGCAATTTTTATTTGAAATGGAATATTGAACTCTTAATCTTTAATGAAAATAACCTCCCCTCCCTCTTGCAGTGAAATATCCTCTCTGTTAACTGGCACAAAGCCAGGGACAACCTGTCAGTCACATGAGATCGACCAATAGCAAACCACATCCATCTAATGAGCCAATTGATCAATTTCTAATATACAAAATCAAGTTCTGCCCTACATGTTTTTCTTGTTCGAGAAGCCGTTTCACTCAGATATACATCACAATAAGGGATAAAAGACTTTAGCAACTTTCGTTTCATTCTGGCTTTAAAGGAATACTCCACTTTTTTTTTTTGGAAATAGGCTCATTTTACCACTCCCCCAGAGTTAAACAGTTGGGTTTCACCGTTTTCGAATGTATTCAGGTGATTTTTTGATATTTAGAAGAATATCAGTAACCAGACAGTTCCTGGTCTCATTGACTTCCATAGTATATATTTTTTTTCCTACTATGGAAGTCAGTGGGACCAGAAACAGTCTGGTTACTGATATTCTTCTAAATATCAGAAAATCGGCTGAATGAATTTGAAAATGGTAAAACTCAACTGTTTTACTCTGGGGGAGTTGTAAAATGAGCCTATTTCCAAAAAAAGTGGAGTTTTCCTTTAACTTCAAGCATGCAAAATGTGTGTAAAGCACACACATTTAGATTTGTGCAGATGTGCTGGTAGTTTCAGTTTCACTAAAAATTTGTTCAGCCTTTGCGTTTATAATAGATGTTGTTTAATGAATTCATTCAACTAATAATTTATACTCGTTTTATACTTTTTTTTCATTAATGTACTGATTAAATTGAAAGGATTTATTGTTAAATGAGCAGGACTAAAATACATGACAGTGTTTATAATGTTTGTTTAATGAAAGGTATTTTACATTATTTCTCAATGTAATAATAATGTCTCCCATACACCAATGCCACTTATCTGCGTTTCTATTTCTCACAACAACAATGCAATTTTGACCTGTTGTGACTTATTTTTCAGAAAAAAACAGTGAAGAACGAAGACACATCTTCAATTAATGAAGCAGTACAATATCACATGTACCTGAATGACAGGAAGCGATGAATGCTTTTTCTCCAGTCTCTTCACGTAAGCGGCCAGCTCCAGCGCCTCCTCGTAGTATCCGTTGCGAACGCAGGTGTCCATCAGCTGAGGGATCTCCAGAATCTCCAAGATCTCAGTGTGTCGATTCAGTGTCAGGCTGTTCATACGCCTGCTGATGCTGATGTCCTCAGCCTCCTTGATAAAACCTCTGGAAAATAAATAAGAGAAAACACAAACCAATTATAGCCAGCATTTCTATTTTATAGTGCACTCTAATGCGTTTGCCCATTGTGTTTGGAAAAATCCTGAAATGTTTTCCACAAAAAACTTCATTTCTTTTCCACTGAAGAAAGAAAGACATGAACATCTTGGATGGCATTGGGGTGAATAAATTATCAGGACATTTTCATTTTGAGGTGAACTAATCCTTTAACATGCATGTTCAAAAATACTTATACAGCAAGGATGCATTAATTTGATCAAAAGTGCACTCTTCTTTTGAACTTTCTATTCATCAAAGAATCCTGGGGAAAGAATAATCGTTTCGACAAAAATATAAAGCAGAACAACTGACTTCAACATTGATAATAATAAGAATGTTTCTTGAGCAGCGAATCAGCATATTAGAATGATTTCTGTAGGATCATGTGACACTGAAGACTGGAGTTATGATGCTGAAAATTCAGCTTTACCCTCACAGCAATAAATTACATTTTAAAATACATTAAATAGCTAACAGTTTTAAAGTAATATTTTACAATACTACCGTTTTACTTTATTTTTGATCAAATGGTGTCTTGGTGAGCATGAGAGACTAGGGATGCACCGATATGAAAATTTTGGCCGATACCGATAATTCTTTATATTTGAAAGCCGATAACCGATATATCGGCCGATAAATTTAAATCCAAATTTGTATCTAATTTTGAGAGCCTGATTACAAAAACAAAAATCTCACAATTAAATCCATGTCCCAAGCGAACGATTATAATGATGTTCTCATTATAGTGTTGTATAGCGGATATGACAGATTTGCGCTGCATTGCGAACCGTATTTTCATTTTTTGAAGAGATTTCAATCATATTTCAAGAAATTCAAAAACATAAACAGTGCTCAACAAGTGTCTCAGCTGAAGGGAATAATACATTATTTATCGGCTTTAATATATCGGCCACATTTTCTTACCAGGCCAATAACGAGAACATTATAAATGAACATATATCGGTCCGATACCGATATGCTGGCCGATATATCGTGCATCCCTATGAGAGACTTAAAAAAGTATTGAAATTTCACTGACCCCTAAACTTTTGAAAGGTAGTAGTGTACATTAATATGAAAATAGATAAAATATGGACATGGTTTATCGCTATTTGAAAGTAGTAGTACATTCTTATATTTTAAATATTAGGTTTATGTTTGATAAATAATACAAATGATCACAGTTGATTCACAGTTCAGTTAGATCTTTCTATTCAATGATAGATAGATAGATAGATAGATAGATAGATAGATAGATAGATAGATAGATAGATAGATAGATAGATAGATAGATAGATAGATAGATAGATAGATAGATAGATAGATAGATAGATGTCAGGCAATCATCAGTGAGAGTAAGTTAAAGTAACGTTAAAAACCTGCATCTCTCAGTAAAGCTGGGCAGTTTGTGCAAGAGTTTCGAGAGACAGTTCTCCACAGTGCTGAAGTCAGTGTAGATATGCTGTGTGCAGTCCGCGGTCCTGATGAACGTCTTGTAGTTGGTGAAGGCCAGCTCACGGGTCTGCTGCAGGATCTGAGCCCGCTCTTCAGACAGACGCTCCGGCTCCCGGGTTAACTCATCCACACCGCACGAGCACAACTGCGACAAATACGCCGCGAAGTCCGGGTTCTCTCTCCAGTTCTCAGAAAAGCTGTCTTTAAAGACCGACACCAGGATACTCTCATCCTCCACGTCTACGGTAGCCATGATGGGAAGTGTTGATTCAAAACTCAACAAAAAACTTTATTTAAAAACCACGACGTCACAAGTGCGCGACGGACAGAACCCACGTGGCTTCTGCGTTGTTTCTGTAGGAGCTGCCGTTTTTAGCTTCTTTAAGAGAAACGAATTATTCTTTGCACCATGCGTCCTTTAACAGACGAAGAGACAAAAACAATGTTTGAGAAACTCTCTAAATAGTAAGTGACATGTTTCGTTAAGATTCATTTAGAGATTAACAAAAGTGTAGCCAGATTGTGTGATCAAGTCATGTGTAAAATAAAACACACTATGGTACTTTTTACTTAATTAATAATGTTAACTATATATATATTAGGAAATATCGTTGGATTTATTGTTTGTGATGTGTTGTTGTTGTTCTTTTATTGGTACTTGTATTATGTTTTGCAGTGTTTTACGTTAATATGATTTAACGTTATATATTCTAATATTATTTACTGCTTTTATTCTATTAATATCATTATTTTTTAAATGTTGTCTGCTACATCATAGCGCCCAAAACTATTTTAAATTAGACTTTAAGTTTTTTTTTTTTTTTAATGTAAATTGAATTTAGTATTCCTATTTTTGTGTGTTTCTAGCATTGGGGAGAATATCAAACTTCTTATTGATCGGCCTGACGGGACTTACTGTTTCAGACTTCACAATGACCGAGTATATTATATGAGGTAAGGATGTCAGTGTCTACTGTCTGTTAAATGTGAATTTAAATGTGATCGCCATAAAAATGTCCTTGTGAAATTTCTTATTCCTTTTTTAAAAGAGTAGCAGTAGTCGGTTTGCTTTGGACAAGACTAGTAATCTTTATTTTGGTGCCAAAACAAGTGTTTTTAATGCATGTGGCTGCAATAATTTTACAACTGACTTGAGCAGAATAGTGTCACTTTGTCTTTTTAGAGCTGCTTTATAGCAGAATTTGTTTTTCTCATATATTATGAAGTTTTCTATTGTCCCGTTAATTACTGTGAAGCTGCTTTGATACAATCTGTATTGTATGAAGCACTTCGTAAAGGTGACTTGACTATCCAAGTCCAGTTTTATTTTCATGGGAGCTTTATTGCAGCAATAATGTAAATATGAGTGTGATTGAGTAGTAATCTTTATTGACATCTCCTGCATTCTAGTGAAAAAATCCTGAAGTTGGCTACAAATATCTCCAGAGATAAACTGGTATCAGTTGGCACGTGTTTTGGAAAGTTCACGAAGACGCAGAAGTTCCGTTTGCACATCACAGCTCTCGATTTCCTCGCACCATATGCTAAGGTAAATATTCATTATGATTATGTATTTTGTAACATTACATTATTACTTAATACAACATTACATTATAACACTGCTATTATCCTCGTTATATTACTGTGAAGTTGCACTGAAGCTTCTTATAAGCACTAATATTTCAGTTTTATTAATATTTTGAATTAGCTTGGTAATTTTGTTTAATTTGTATTAAGTTTTCTTTTAACCTTCTATTTAGGTTTATTTTAGTATTAGGGTATGTTTACACAACAAATATGTACAAAAAGTGTAAACATAATTTCCTTCGCATTTTCCACAAACAATGTTGTCAAGATGATCCATTTATACTGATTCATGAGAACAACTTAAAATGCTGTATTATTCATGTTACCAAGTTTTTCAGCGTATATTTATACATCTTATTTCAGCTTTATTTATATTAACATTAATGTTTAATAGTTTTAGTTAACAATAATAATCCTGGTTCATATACAGGGACGCTCGGTTCATAATGTAATCTGCTTCATGTATGCCTCTGAAGTTTAAGGTGTGGGTGAAGCCTGGATCAGAGCAGTCGTTCCTGTATGGAAATCACATCATGAAATCCGGTCTGGGGAGAATCACCGAAAACACATCGCAGTACCAAGGAGTGGTGGTGTATTCAATGTCTGATGTACCACTGGTGAGACATTTTTTTTGAAAATCCTCAAGATGAAACAACTGTTGTCATGTTCAGAAAAGTATTTAGTGACCTTTGAATGCACTCACTGTCTTGATCTCATTTCAGGGCTTTGGGGTCGCAGCGAAGACCACACAGGAGTGTCGGAGGGTCGACCCCATGTCCATTGTGGTTTTCCATCAGGCTGATATTGGAGAGTACATCAGAAGTGAAGACACGCTGACATAAGAGCATATAATAACAGCAGTACTCATGGACAGTTCATTACATTCTGGCTATTGGAAGTCACAAGTTTCGCAAACTTCAATCAAATCGAATTGTATGTGATTTTCATTGACCTTTTCTGTATAAAAAAAAAGTTTTTACCTAGTTACTGTAAGTTTGTGCATTTATGAATTATTTTCTTCTGATTTAATAAAACGGGATACAAAACCAAACCAAGTTACAACAAACATTTTCAAGAATAATTTAGTTAAAAGCAACATTCACAGTGAAATTAGACTTGCTACTCTTTTGACCAATACAAATTCAGATGTTTTTATTACTGCAAAAAATATTTTTCTTTTGGCATTAAATACTAACATTGTTACAAAAAAATTAAAACAAATGGTGTACTTTTTAACTTTCTATTCATCAAAGAGTCATGAAAAGAATATTATACCATTTCATCGAAAATAAATCGGCATAAGTTGTCAACATTGATAATAGTAAGATATGTTTCAGCAAATCAGCATATTAGAATGGTTTCTGAAGGATCATGTGACTGAAGACTGGAGGATTGATGCTGAAAATTTTGCTTAAATTCACATTGAAAACAGTTATTTTACAATTTAGGGCTGGGCAAAAATAAAAGTTTGTGTTTACATAATATATGTGTGCGTACTGTGTATAATTATTTTGTATTTATAAATACACACACAGAATTTTTTGCAAGTATATACTTGATGCATATTTTTACATAATTTATATTAAACATTAATATTTTATATAGTAACACATTTTTCTTTAATTATATACATGCATGCGTTTAAATTTTTACATACAAAATAATCATACGCAGTATGCACACATACATTATGTAAACGCAAGCTTTTATTTTGGATGCGATTAATCACGATTTATACATATTAATCACGAGCCCTAAATTTTACTGTATTTGATCCAATAAATGCAGGCTTGAGATAAAAAAATAAAAAAAAATCACAGAGATTTGCACTTTAGACTTTAATAGCTTTTAAATCTAATGACTTTTTGTAAAATAACTTTACATAAGAAAGAACATAACTTTATGACACATGAAAGTATCGGAACAATATTTGTTTACACCATTTATTACAGACATAATTTCATAACCTTTGCTTTGTGGCCGTAAGCCCGGTTTCCAACGTCCCGAGTTCAGACAGTTAAAATGAGCTCGAAGATTTGAGACATTTCGGGCTATAATGACCCGTTTCAGTGATATCCGCAGCACTATAAAGAGCTCATGTGGGGAAAAGGTGAAGGTTGGAGACAAAATTTCTAGACTTTGTTGGTTAAGATGATAATTTAGTTTAATGACCAATAAATTCCCAAAGGTCTGACAACATATGCAATCCCTAATGCTATCTGAGGTTAATGAAGGTCATTTAAGAGCAAACATCCCTCAGCTTTTACAGTCAAGTAATATCTACAATTACAAGTCTAAAGCATGTTTAAAAAATAGAGTTGAGGTCAGGCAAATACTGTCGCAGTAATAGTTATAGTACAGAACGTAAAACAAACTATTCTAATGCAAAGAAAATAACTGTCCCTTTTCTACCAAATTTAAACAAGGTATAAAAAGCATCTGATACATTCTTAGTGATGTGCTGATAAAAGGCAAGTCTTCTCATATCAATTTCAAAACATGATCTTCAGGGCTTGCATATAGTAAATATTCCCTTTACAGAAAATGAATAACTATTAGACTTTGTTACTTTAAAATGAATGACACCAAGCCATTCAGTCCAATCTGAGTTCCATTGCAATGAACCGTCTGATGATGGGAATGTGTAAAAGAAGGTTTCATTCTCATATGTCGCATCAAATTGGCACACAAAACTCATTACTTTTTGTAACAAATAAAACGCTGGAATTACACTGTAATGGCAAAAGGTAAAATTTAGAGCAAGTCTTATTAGTTTTGTTGTATTATTTGATCTAGAAATCATGGATATGAAAGAATCAACTGTCAATTCCTTTCTTTAGTCATTTGTGGTAAAATCCAGTTGGCCTCGAACCAGAACCAAAGCATCAACACATATTCAAATCAATGCTTGATTGTAAACATAATACCCAAGACTGTTAACACATACAGTCTATGCATCTCTTCTGCTTGGTAAATATGGAGTGGTTTTCAAAGTCTCTTAAAAATATCTATCTAGACCCATCTAAACTGGCCTTTTAGTGCTGTGATATAATTCTCATGTACTGCCGTTATGTTTTTTTAAATATGTTTTGAATATATATTTTTTTAAATAAAAGCAACACATTTTCTAATAATACAGAAGGGGGTTGAATACCAATCTCACAAAGGCAGTCAAGAACACATCCAGGACAAATTTCCCTTCAAAATCCAAAGAAAAAAATAGGAAATTATACATTACATGAAGAAAGGATTTATGGCATTGTGACATTCTGATTATACACTGTAAAAATGAATATGCTTTATCTAATCAATAGAATTGTGGCAACAGATTACAAGTAATATTATTAATTCAATTCAACAAATTAGAATTGAGAAATAATTAATCAAATTATTCCTTAAAAGTTAACCATTTAAAATGAATAAAGTTTACACCAAAAAATATAACAAACAGACGTCAAAGATTAATTAAGAAATTGAAGACACCTGATGTTAACAAGCAGAATCACTGAAGGAGAAAACCATAATTTTAAAACTAACACTGATCACCACAATGGTGACTCAAATTTATGGGGTTTTTTTTGTGTGTAAGTTTTACTCATTTTAAATGGTTAACTTTTAAGGAATTAATTTGAATAATTATTACTCAATTCTAATTTGTTACATTGAATTAATAATATTGCTTTTAATCTGTTGCCACAATTTTTTTGATTAGATAATATTCATTTTTACACTGTAGAGTAACACAATAAAAACAAAATGATCTTAAATGAACAGGAGTACAATAAAAACTAGTATGATGTAAACATTTTAAAGTGTAAATGATAGAATTAATTATATCGTTAGAGATTAATAAAAGAAAAAGAAAAAAAAAACATACAAATAAAATTGTATTACATTAAGAATTTATGGGGAAGTGCCTAAAGTACATTTGACTGTCTTTATGCAAAATATAATTTCTTGTTTTTATCTTTTCATTTGAGGCTCAAATATGACACGAAGATGATCTTGACAGATTTTGCGAGATTCCCTTGTGCCGAGACGAGTTCCAGCTTTGTATGATAAAAATATTTTCCAAAAGGTCACCATGAAACGATTCTCTAAGCTAAAGGTAAAAGCATAAAAGTGAAGAAGACAATGAAACCACGAAGCAACAAGTATAAAACACAAAGTGATAGTCAGCCTCTGTGAATTGTGCAGCATATTTGCTTGAGATCGCAAAGTCTCACTACAATGACACCTCACCTCATTTTACGGCCGCGTGTTAATTTTCTAATACACATTAATTAGAGTTCCTGGCTCATACGCAACGGAGGACATCATTTAATTATGTGTGCCATAATGTGATTTGTCTTTATTTATCTCACAGAGCAGCCTAAGGTCAATGTAAGAATTATATATCGTCACATCGACCATTCAAGTTCTTTGTGGGATTGGCATTTATTTCAAGACTACGGAAAGAGGCTATTATTATCTCTACAATACATGGAGACGAGACGATTTTAAAATGACTTCATCATTTAGGTTATTGTGTTTAAGGTGACTAAACCAGCCGCAAGCACTTAACACCCAAGTAAATCTCAGGAAACGGAAATGTCCTGCTCATATTCCACACTAACTTCAAAAGGAAAAGAAAAAAAACTATAAATGATACTTTACATAAAGAAATTTAAGCCTATTTTATCTGCCATTTATTTGTGCATTTTGACATTTTCTTTATAACTGAGATTCTTATTAATGTAGTATGAAAATCTCACTGTCATTGTTATAATGAATTACATTAAAATCAGCATAAATTAAATTCAGTACAACAAATAATATTATTATATATAAATTACTTTACATTTTAAATAATAAATCATTACAATAATGCAAATGAAATTCATTTTCTTTCGATGTAAAAAGCTGCAAGCCTTCTTTATCGTTATAATTTCTTCTTTTTTCCTTTTGATTTTGGGGTGATAAGAACACGGACATTTCTTGACAGTTTTTGTGAAATTCGCTTGGTTTATGATCTAACCATTGCATGTTAGCCATTATTTTTGTCACGCAGAAGCTCTACTTAAAAATCACAAGATGTAGTTTCCTCAGGCTGGATTATGGATACTGACAACCTTCGACTGTTCCGTAAATTTGCAAACGGCAAAAATAGTCCACGTAAAAAGCAAATCAAAAACCCATGAGTGTGAATGTTCATGAAGAAAATATGAGCATAACAAGTATGATCCGCCAAACGAGGTAATAATGTGTGGACACAGGCTGTATCGAGACGTAGCCTCATTGTTCCAGGGGCGACATCAGTTATTTGACAGGTTTTCACTGTAGTACCTCCAAACCTGCATCAGCATTAAATAAGGACTCCTATGTCCTATGTGAGGAAGGGGGGTGGGGGAAGGGGGGATAATGGGCATGAAGGCAGATGGAAATGCCTTCATAGACAGCATTCTTCACTCAAACTGAGAACTCGGCCCCGCCCTTCCGGACACGAACCATCAGCAGGCGCTGGAGGCGGAGTCCAGCGAAAGGGTTGAACCAGAGCAGAGAGGGCGGGCCACCGAAAACAGCTTTCATCCCCTCCCATCGCACCCGCCGCTCCCACGTGGGCTTTTCGTTCTTCAACCGCTCGATTTCCTGTGAGCGTCAAACGAGAAATGTAAAGTTAGCTTATTGTGTTTTAAGGTGACTAAAACAGTCACAAGCACTATGGAAATGTCCACCTCATATTCATCACTAACATCAAAAAGAAAAAGAAAAAAAAATCTATAAAAGATCATTTATTTAAAGAAAATAAAACTTTATAATGGAGCAATTCTTATTAATGTAGTATGAAATGAAATCTCATTGTTATTGTTATAATAAATTAATTACATTAAACCGTATTAAAGGGATACTCCACTTTTTTGGAAATAGGCTCATTTTACCACTCCCCCAGAGTTAAACAGTTGAGTTTCACCGTTTTCAAATCCATTCAACCAATTTTCTGATATAACCAGACAGCTTCTCGTCTCATTGACTTCCATAGTAGGAAAAAAAATATACTACAGAAGTCAATGAGACCAGAAACTGTCTGGTTACTGATATTCTTCTAAATATATTAAAACAAATGGCTGAATACATTAGAAAATGGTAAAACCCAACTGTTTAACACTGGGGGAGTGGTAAAATGAGCCTATTTCCAAAAAAAAAAAAAAAAAAAAAAAATGTGGAGTATCCCTTTAAGGTTAATACTGTCAGCACATTATTCCAAAACACAAATACAGTGAATTTGAATTATTGTTCTGAGAAATAATGTTGCATTACATGAAAAATAATCTTATTTTTATTGTTATATACTATTCAGTATTCATACAGTGCCATTAGGTTTAGTTTTTTTTTTAATGTCTTGAAAGTAGTCTCACCAAGGCTGCATTTATTTAATCAAAAAAACAGTAAAAACAGTAATGTTGTGGAAATATTATTACAATTTAAATGAACTGATTTCTTTTGTAATATATTTAAAAATGTCATTTATTCCTGAGAAGCAAAGCTGAATTTTCAGCATCATTACTCCAGTCTTCAATCTCACATTATCCTTTAAAACATCATTCTAATATGCTAATTGGGTGCTAAAGAAACATTTCTTATTATTATTAATGTTAAACAGTTGTGTTGCCTAATATTTGTTTGGAAACTTTCTTTTTTTTTAGCATTTTTTGATTAATAGAAAGTTCAAAATAACAGCATTTATTATAAATGGTATTTTTTTGTCATATTTATTAATTTCATAAATGGCTTTCCTGTCTTTTTTTTAAAATTAATTTAATGTGCCTTCGCTAATTAAAAGTTTTGATTCTTTAAAAAAAAAAAAAAAAAACCAAACATGTAATATATGTACATGCTGTTTTTTGTTTTGTTTTTTTAAAAAAGGGAAAAAAAAGAAATCATCACTTTTAATTAGCAAAGGCACATTAAATAAAATTGACCGGTAATGGATTTTGAGCAATACCCATTCATGTCTTAGGACAACTTTGATTAACATTTTTGACTTTTTTGATACACTTTAAACTTTGACTACTGTACACTGAACAAAATAAACACTTTTGTTTTTCCCCCCATTTTTCACGAGCTAAACTCAAAGATCTAAGACTTTTTCTGTGTACACAAAAGGCCTATTTCTCTCAAATATTGTTCACAAATCTGTGTTAGTGAGAACTTCTCCTTTGCCGAGGTTATCCATTCACCTTACAGGTGTGGCATTTTAAGATGCTAATTAGACCGAATGATTATTGCACAGGTGTGCCTTATGCTACGTTCACACCGGACGCGAATCGCGCGTCAAATTCGCGCCTGACGCGTCTAGTTTGACGCTTGACCACTTTGTGTTAATTCGCGTGTCAAGAGCGAAACTGGCGCGCGTAAAAACAAAAGTTTGAAGCGAAATTTACGCGCGTGACGCGCGTCAGAATCGAAATCTGTTGGCGGCCATTGTTTTTATGTCGACCGAGCATTCATCAAGAGAGTTACCGCTCTGTATTTACTCTGGAGAGCAGAACAGCGGCGTGGGGATAATCGTCGCCGTATATTTGTGTCCACCGGACCCTTCAGAGCCGAACCGTTTGGCTAGTTTCACCATTTGCTCGCTCCAGGAGCTGCGCTGGATGACGGCCGCTGTCAGCGGTACTTCCGTCTGTCCCGCGCCCAGTTTGATGACATGTTGTCCCGCATCGGAGCGAGGATCACCCTCGCCCTCATCCATCTAATCTAGCTGTCATTTATTTTTTGTTTTGATGATAAATAGAGCCAGCCTTCAAAAGTTATTAACCTGTCCTGTGATTTTTTTCTCTCTCTCAACGTCCAGACACGAATTTATGCACATATGTTGATTGTCTTTACAACATACTATTTCATATAATCTAGCTATGGAATGATTAACATTCAATACAAAATGAACATGTCTCGTATATAGAAATAATGTTTTAAGTGATAAAATATTTGCTTTGTTGTGCATAATCCCACCATGCATTTAGTCATAACAAAATAATTTATTGAAGCATCCAGACACTTCACCACGTGAGCAAGCAGCTAGGCTCCTGATTGGTTAACGCGGCGCGAATTCACGCCAAAGTTCAGATTTTTCAACTCGAGCGGCAGACGCGAATTCGCATCAAACGCGTGAATGCATAAATGGCACTATTCGCGCGTAACGCGCTTAACGCGCCAGACGCTCAATTCGCGCCATTCGCGCGAACTTGACGCGCGAATGAGGCGTATTCGCGTCTTCCGCGCCTCGCTCCACGCCTCATTCGCGCCGCAGAAATTTTTCACGCGCGTAAAGCGTCTTTGCATTGACTTAACATTGAAATCATTCGCGCCTGACGCGCTATTCGCGTCCGGTGTGAACGTAGCATTAGGCTGGCCACAATTAAAGGCCACTCTAAAATGTGCAGTTTTATCACAAATCACAATGCCACAAATGTCACAAGTTTTGAGGGACTGTGCAATTGGCTTGCTGACTGCAGGAATGTCCACCAGAGCTGTTGCCCATGAATTTAAATGTTCATTTCTCTACCATACGCCATCTCCAAAGGTGTTTCAGAGAATGTACATCCAACCGGCCTCACAACCGCAGACACGCGTGCAACCACACCAGCCCAGGACCTCCACTTCACCTCCAAGATCGTCTGAGACCAGCCACCCGGACAGCTGCTGCAACAATTGGTTTCCATGACCAAAGAATTTCTGCACAAACTGTCAGAAACAGTCTCAGGGAAGCTCATCTGCATGCTCGTCGTCCTCATCGGGGTCTCAAACTGCAGTTCGTTGTCGTAACCGACTTGAGTGGGCAACTGCTCACATTCAATGGCGTCTGGCACTTTGGAGAGGTGTTCTCTTCACGGATGAATCCCGGTTTCACTGTACAGGGCAGGTGACAGACAGCGTGTATAGCGTTGTGTGGGCGAGCGGTTTGCTGATGTCAGTGTTGTGGATCGAGTGGCCCATAGTTTGGTATGTGGTTGTGGTATGGGCAGGAGTATGTTATGGACACAGGTGCATTTTATTGATGGCATTTTGAATGCACAGAGATACCGTGATGAGATCCTGAGGCCCATTGTTTTGCCATTCACCCACGACCATCACTTCATGTTGCAGCATGATAATGCACAGCCCCAAGGATGTTGCAAGGATCTCAACACAATTACTGGAAGCTGAAATCATCCCAGTTCTTGCATGGCCTGCATACTCACTGGACATGTCACCCATTAAGCATGTTTGGGATGCTCGAGATCGGCGTATGCGACAGTGTGTTACAGGTTATTTTGTTCAGAATATATATATATACAGTATATATATATAGCAATAAATTGCAATAAAGAATATATCAAATTTGGCTGTAAAGGTAATAAGAAGTAATGGTAGTAACTGGGTAGGAGGACTTCAGGAGTTTGTCAACTTACAGTCTCATCATTACAGATGGAGTGAATCTGAGTGCCGAACATGACAGCAGTGAAGGTGAGAAACAGCAGCGCTTCCAGACACAGAAAAATCAGCAGCAAGACCGCCACAGGTGGGGAGAAATCACTACACTCTACAGAACAGAGAAGATAAACACAGATGAGATGATGCTGTCAAAATTAATGCTGTCTCATGCTTTGTATGAGAAATAAAAGAACAGTAGGACCATATATAACAGTAGGACAGATATATATATATATATACTGTATGTATATATACATATAGCATAAAATTATCTGTCCTCCAGCAAATCTAAAATGTGTATTACCCACCATTCCACTGGACTCTGACACAGGTGAAGAAATGGAAACCGCTGAGACACAGTGCATGCAATGAAATGGAGGCTATGTACATCTGAGGAGAAAGAAAAACACATTAAAGTCAACTATTATTTAAAATTCAACACATTAAAGTGTCATGAAACCCCCCTGTTTTAGCCAGGATGTTCACACCTCAAAACATGAATTTTTTCTCACACATTAATTTTTATTTTGGGGGAACTATCCACGATACATATTCTCACTATCCACAATACGTATTGTTGCATTTTGTATAGCGATATATTGTTACACCCCTAATATATATATATATATATATATATATATATATATATATTTTTTTTTTTTTTTTTTTTACTTTTCGTTACGTTGGTTTAGCTTTTTAAAGTTTTGCTTTTTAAACTCAAAGAATGAAATAGGTCAGACAAAAACAAACACTTTTCCCTTAGTAGTAATCATAATGAGTGCTTTTGTTGTTTTCATTGACATGCAGCAGGTTTCATGATCATTTAAATGTTGCCATGCTTTAAAATGCTGGTTTCTTAAGATAAAAACCTCACAATATTGATGTACACTGATGCCTGTAACATTTACCAGAAGAAAAGATAATTGGTTAAGGGCAATAATGCAATTTACTGGGTAAAAGTACCTTACAATAATAATAGAAAAGTAATTATTTTTACTTTTAATTTTTACTTTTACAATAATTTATATAATAATAATTATTATAATATATATATATATATATATATATATATATATATATATATATATTATATATATATATATATATATATATAATTTAAATAATTTAGTAATGATCACATTTCTTTCCATCAATACAGTAAATTAGCCAATCCCCATTGGACTTTTTTTCAGTTTTTTCAGTTTTCAGTTGTCAAACAAAGTTACAGTTAAAGATCAACAGATAAACAAAAAATTGTAGCATTGATACAGAACTCAGACAATTTTGTGGTCATGGCTCACACATCATAATCAGATGTTTTCAAATTTCAATTGGATGATTTTGTCAGCAATTCTACCATAAAAAAAAAACTGTACAAGAAACCACAGCAGTCTTAGACACACTTACAGTGAAGAGGACAAAGAATCGCTGATTGTTCTCGCCTACACAGTTGTTGACCCAAGGACAGTGGTGATCCATCTTTCTGATGCATCTCTTACAGATACTAATAAACAGAACAAGGAGAAGAGCACAGACCAGTTTTAAAACAAGATTATAAACATTCAGCAGTCACCGATACTCGGCTCTAAGAGATACATAATGTAAAATAGCATTTAAAAAAAGTCCACAGCACACTTTAAAATAAGAAAGGAATAAAACAGGAAGAGCAATATTTTTAAGAACTGATATTGATTCTTAAAAATCACACGAATCGACCTTTCAGGTGTTTTTTTTAGTTGATGAATGCACAAAAATTTGTAGCATAGAAAAGATCATCTCTTCCACTTAACGACTAGTTACAGCACAAAATAATGTCATTAGGTATGTTGAAAGAGGCAGTACAGTCTCATGTAATTATAACAGTATTTTCAAACAGCTTGTAGACAATGTCATGCAATATTTACCTCCATTTACCTCAGAAAAGCCATTCAATATCCAGCTAGAAAACTGAATGTTCTTCAATGTAATGTATTTTTGAATAAATCTGTCATGTTTTGTATGATAGCCATTAGCCACCATTTAAAATGTAAAAATGTATTATAATATTATAAAAATGTCCTTATGTAATTTAAAACGTAAATAGCATATAAATCTGTTCATTTTAAACTATAATATTATAGTGATGTACCAACAGCGGTTTGGAGCTTTAAAGTCGTCATGAAATCAAATTTTACCATTCGTATTTTTATATGTAATATTGTAGTGTTTATTTTAAATTATTTATCTGTGCACTTCATTTAAAAAAAAATGTAAAAAAATAATGTACCCTTATAATCTTTAATCAAATTCGTTACTCTTCCCTCCCCCCTCGAAATGACTTCTCTTCTCTTCCAGTCAAAAACTATTACTAGAGGGTGTGGCTATTGGGGTCTGTCTCGTTACTGGCCCGCCTCTCAGAAAACCGTCAGTGTCACTGACAGCCAGCGAATATGGTGTTTACATGCATTTTGGGTTGTGTTCCTCGCGTCCTCTTTTCTATCCCTAAATCATCTTGGTTTGCAGGAGGTTCATATAAATATGGGGTGATTCCTTCCGGAAAATTTGGCTGCTCGAACTCGTTCTCGTCGCCGGATTCCTCAATTAAACATTCTTCATGGGAGAATAACGGTGGTGATTCCGGTGGAGAGAAATCCTCCACAACTGACTGTAAACTGGCAACGCTTAGCAACGCCCAACCTCCAACGATCCAATCAATTCCCAAAGGACGAAACCAAGCCCCGCCCTACATTTTCCTCTAATTTTAGAAGCCGTTTCACTCGGATATACATCACAATAAGGAAAAAAGGACAATCTCAGTTTACGTTTCATGGCGACTTGCATTATTCGCCAGCGTTTCTCAACGTGTTTTTTTGTGTTCACACCCAACCAATTTTTGCTGACGATGGGCCGAGTGAACATGCAAATTCATTCCCTTACATTAGATGGCGCTTAATGTAAAACAGAAATAGTCCTATTTTGTAGTCGCTATTCTGACACCAACGAGACCAGCAGCTCTACATTCATCTTGCCTTGCATCTTTTTCGGCTTATTTTTCCCGGCAGTGTAGACGCTACTTGGCGTATATCTTTTTTGTCGTTAAGTATGTGTGCCAGACCGTTTTGTGTTTGAGCGCCTCCAAGTTGCGTTTAACTGTAACTTCAGAAGCTCCAGACACGTGACCAAAAGAATAGTTTTTGATGTGGCGCGTCAAACCAAAAAAAACTAACCTGAGGCATAGAAAAAGACACTTTTGCGCGTACCGTTTTTTCGCGGCGGTGTGCACACTCACATTGGCACCCTTTGTTTAGTCACGAGGCAATAACCGTAGGCCAAATATCGCGTGTGAAATTTGGCCCATTGTGAAAGGACCTTTAGTTGACATTTTTTCCTTAAGGAAATTTCCCCTGTACTGTACCTGATATTACCCAACTAATCGATAATAAATCGAAATTTAATTAAATGGAGAATCTGTGTCAATACATAAGTTATGACATCAAAACCGGGATCATGTAAAGATATGACAACCCACGTTTACATAACAGGGCCTATGCTGTATTTAGCAACATCAAAATGCAAAAAGCATCAGCCAATCACAACATGCAACTACAAATAACAGGGTATAAAATGGACACAAATTATCTGGTTTTATTGCAAGAAACCTGCTCTGACGTTTTAACCCCCTGTGGTCGGCTATCGCACTGGCGCAACAAGCTCACTTTTTTCACTTCTCCCTGTTTTGTGGCCTTATAATGCACAAACAATATTCTCAAAAATACAAACATGTACATGTTGCTCACATATTATGGTAGCCCTGTTTGTGCTAAATAGAGTGTAATTTCACCTGTGTCATTCATGTTTATAAGCAACTGAAAAAAGCACAAATGTCAGGGCATGTTAAAACATCTCAAGGACCCCAAAAATGTGCTATGTGCTACAAATGTGGCCACATACAGATAGGAAAAGAAATAAAAATAGAGTCTTATTTATCTGATGTTGGTCTCACCTGCAGTGGTGTGCTCTCTCTGGTTTAATGCTGCAGCATTTAGGACACTTGTAAATGACCTCTCCTGGCTTCAGCTGCAGACTCTCCATGTATTCTTTAGTGGCGTTACCTTTGGGAACAGCTCCCTGATAAACACAATACACTGCCCATCAATAACATTCATCACAAAAAGTTAATTACCACATTTAATTAAAATGATGGTCCTTTCTTACTGGATCTGACAGCATGGTTCGCAGATGCGATGTCAGCGCTAACACAGCCAGGAAGTTAAATGCCACGCCATTGATGAGAGAGTACCAGAAGCTTTTGGACGGGAGCAACATGACAAAGTTCACCACAAATTGGGCATACATAACCAGAAACCAGGTCATGAATGCGCACACCATCCCGCAGCTGTCCTGGATGAACCAGACGCGGCCGGCCGTCACCACTTCCTCCTCTCCTCCGCTGAGCAGGGGCTGGTGCTGCTCCACATCCCTCAACCGGTGTCCTGAAGACTGCATTCTCTCCTACAAAGAGAGAGAGAGGGGTGAGCCAGACATAACACTGATTCACACGCTTTACTATAGTTGTACTGTAAGAGTAGCATTTAACACAACATGTGCCTTGCACAAGCAACACCAAGGTAATAAGTTTGATTCCCAGGGAATGCATGACCTGATATACCGGTAATACTAGGAATGCACCGATACCAGTATCGGGCCCAAAACTGTACTTATGTACTTACTTACTCATCCTCATTCTCATTATATTACTCCAAAACCAACAACAGATACCACTCAAGATGTACAATACAATTATAACAAAGAAACACCAACAACAGAGCAAACAGAGAGAAGAACGGATATATCAGGGAAAGTCAAGTCACCTTTATTTATATAGCGCTTCAAAGCAGCTTTACAGTGATAACATGAAAATAATACAACAAAGTTTGTTTCTAGAAGAAAATTGCGTCAACGTCCATTAAAATAAGGCAGATCAATAATATTGTAGAATATTAAAGGTACAATATGCAGGATTTTTGCAGTAAAATATCCCAAAACCACTAGGACAATCATGTTATATATTTTGTTTAGTTGATTACTTACAATATCCCAAATGTTTTCAACTATTTGTAAATCGTGAGGAAATTGCGATTTTAACCAAGGAAATGGGGCGTATGAGCAGGGGTGAGGAGTCGCCAGTCAATGACGTCACACACCCGCGTTACCCCCGGTTTCCGCCAGGTTTGACCTCTTACTGCAAACGTAACTATGGCGACTGACGTTGACAACTGGGTCGGTATGCCCGTTATGACTAGAAGGACGCTCACGCTGTTGTTGTTTTGTTCATACATTATGGACCATTGGCAAGCAGACTTTGAGACAAAAAGAGGACTAAAACGAAGATCAACATCTTTCGAGATGCCGAGAGCTCCACGTCCGCGACTAACTTAGACAAAGACGCGAGTGTTGCAGGTTAATTCATTAAACAGGTGAGCAAAAGTTGAGCAAACTAATCAATGTTATTTATTTAGTTCAACATGATGAAAAGTTAGAATATGATCTGAATGTTATTCTCTAGCTTAGTCTCATACAGCGAACAAACAACCTAACTAACATTCAACATACTCAAATGCCGTTCAGCTGCTAGTGTGATAGTGTAATGTTAGGCAAGTGAAGCAGCGCTGCGTTACCTCAAGTTTAATTCCTCTAATAAACTGACCTGTGTGAGTAATTCAGCACTTGCGTGTAGTTCGGTAGAATGAAATGTCCTTATTCCTTTGTATCCGCGGGACTCGCGTTGCACTGATACCTGTCTCTCATTAGCAACCGCGCACTGCTTTGTACCACAGTCACGTTAAAAACATCAGTGTATTCACTCATCCATAAAAAATCCATCAGCCTGACGACAAGATCCATAATTCCGCTTAACGCAGAATATACGTCATCAATATACGCCTTTGTTATTGTAAGAGGTTACCGACCCCTGGTGGTGAAAAAATCTTGCATATTGTACCTTTAAATGTCCCTAACTAACCAAGCCAAAAGCCAAGGCAACATTGGCAAGGAACCAAAACTCCATCAGTGGCAGAATGGATAAAAAAACCTTGAGAAAGATATATGAATTAAATGTATCGAATTAATAGAATGTTTAACTAATTAAAGAGAGAGATGCTTTTGATTGTTCACTCAACACACATTTGGATATTTAGCATGAGAATCTCTTTAACACTGTAAACAACTCTGAATACATGAAACACAACTGTACCCCCCATTTAATAATGTTTTAAATTTACATTAATTTAGGCTAGTAGTTTTTGCTGTAATATCAAAATTGTAATAATGAATTGTGATTTCACAAAACCTGTCCATAGAAATTAAACACAAACAGGTAAAATACTGTTCAAAAGTTTTTTTTTTTAAAGAAATCAAGACTTTTAATCAGCAAGGATGCATTGCATTGATCAAAAGTGATGGTAAAAGCATGTATAATGTTTCAAAATTTACATTTCAAATAAATGCTGTTCTTTTGTATGTTTTATTCATCAGAGAATGCTGAAAGTATCCTTTTAGAATGATTTCTGAAGGATCATGTGATGCTGAAAATTCAGCTTTGCATCACAGGAATAAATTATATTAAAACAATCACAATAGAAAACAATTGAGTTGTAATAATAGTTCACAATATTACGTTTTTTTACTGTTTTATAGATAATAAATAAAGCCTTGGTGAGCAGAAAAACTTACCGACGCCAATCAAGCACGAGCTTCTATCTCAATAATATAATCCACTAAATATTTTAAATTCCCCAAATCCCACAGCAAAGTGAAAGTGAAAACCTAAGAAACCTCATTTTCGTAGCATTCTGTAATTAAAATTTCAGCGTGTAAAAGGCTCGGGTGCAAGCTTAAAAAAAAAGAGGCTCTCTTATAGAGCTGGGGCTGTTTTGCCATTTTCAACCCTAGTATCACTGGAATATCGCTGCCAATCTAACATCCTTTGTTAAAGAAAAATGGCAGGAGTTTCAGCCTTGGACATTGGCTGAAACTTGGCATCTTATTTACATAAATACTTTTGAGATGCAAATCACTTACAAAAACAAAGGCCAAACAGCCTAAAACAAGAGAGATGTGTATGGTCAGCGTCAAAAACTGACAGGGACAATATACACCCATTCTAAAGAAGGACAAAAGGGACTGAAAGACATATTGCATGAACTGATCAGATATTCCTTACAGTAGATGCTCACCTGCATATTTGTTTCTCTGACAGTGCAGGATAAGTTACAAAAGTGTATTATGGTGAGGGAGGGGTTTGTTCTAGGGATATTTTTTATTTTTCTGCAAGTACAAATTTCTTAGCAAGTACTCACCACACAGAGCGTCCCTTACAAAGACATCCTCTCAAACCCTGTTGGGCTTGAACTCAAAGGCATCTACAGTCTGGAACCTGTAGAGGACATACACACACATAGAGAAAAAGAAAATCATGCTATAAGTGAATATGCTCTCACAGCAAGAAAGTAAAGCGAGTCAGTAAGTGAGGCAATGCAGACAGAGCTGTGTGTGTGTGTGTGTGTGGTCATAATACTTCACACATAATTAGCCTTCATTCGCATCATCTCTAATAATCCTTTAAATACATTGTTAAACAAAAGCTCTAAATTTTACAAAGCTTAATCTGAACCCCATTCTTAATATAACACAGGTTAAACTATATTCCATTTTTCAAACAGAACAATAGTCCAATTTATTGCTTCTATTTTCTATTAATCCTTTTTTTGACTATTTTTTGTACTTACTATATATATACTGTATATATGTATTTATATAAACAGTGTGTGTATATATATATATATATATACATATATATATATATATATACACTGTGTATATATATATATATATATATATATATATATATGTACACACTGTGTATATATATATATATATACATATAATAAAATAAATGATTAATTGTGATTAATCACATCCGAAATAAAAAGTTTGTGTTTACATGATATGCGTGTACTGTGTCTTATTTTAAAATTATTTTGTATAAATACACACACTTACATGTAAATATTAAAGAAAAATGTGTTTTTTCTTAAACATGTATTTATATATATATATATATATATATATATACACCTGCAAATATTTCTTAAATATATACATGCATGTTTGTGTATTTATATTTACAAAATAATTACACACAGTACACACACATATCATTTTGGATGCGATGCATCATATATTTGTATACATACAGTCAAAATTTCTACAATTAAGTCAGAATGAGAAATCTAGGAACAAAATCAGAGCAGACTTAAAAAAAAACATGTTGGTTCTTGATTACAGAAGCAGGTTCAGTAACAAATTACGCCCGAATGAATTTTAAAGCCAATGACATCCATTTCAAGTGTCTCATAACTATATTCAGCTGTTTAATAATTCTATTAATATACTCATTTTTTTTTTACCATTTCTTGGAAATATCTTACTATGGATAAGTCTAGGTATGTATCTAGTTATGTAGTATACAACTCAAATGACACAGAGGGAAAACATTTTAAAGAATAATTATTGTACATGAGTAAATATGAAACAAATAATTCAAATGATTTTTACTAGCTAGTTTTCATGTAGAAAAAGTCATATGAGGGTGAGTAAATTATGACTAATAAATATAATTTCCACGTATACTATCCCCCTTTAAATCCTTCAAGTTAACGTGAAAAGATGAAAGTTTAAGAGCTCATAATATTATATATATTAAAAAAAAACTAAGTTTCACTTTCATCGCCTTTGACATTCACTGCTGTGGTTGATGATTTCAACATTGATAAAATCCACAATTTTCCCTTAGTCAGCGGCAACAATACAAATATACTTAGATATACACTTCACATTCAATCATTAATACATATAACTTTACACAATCGTACAAACTCAATCTTATTCACACAGAAACAACTGAAAGTGTTATGAACTGGCCTGTTATGAAGAAATGTGTTTGGATTTCTCACAGCTCACAATAATAAAAAGACAAATTCAGTGTAGCCTACTGTATATTTTGTTGTTGTTGGAGTGGTGTTTTGATAAACCAGTAACGATATAGCAACCCTCATAATAACACATCTCTCTTTCAGTCTAATCTCCCGTCACACCCTTAATCTAATATGTCGTTTGATTTTTATAATTTCCACATCCTTTTATAATAACTAATATATTATCTTTATAAGTCTTAATTTTTTGGACAATCTCATTAAATCATTCAAATCCGAATGATAAATCGCAGCCACACAAACATCATCATGATTTATTATCTTTAACGAAATACAGAACGTTTTATTTCACTTACCACCTCCAAAATAAGATTTTATTCACCAGCTGTTATTCTCAGATGAGCGATGAGCACATATAAAAAGATCATTTCATTTCTCAGACTGTTTAAAGGGTTTCATGGGTGAGAAATGGGGATGAGGGTCACATACACTTCCGGGGTTCAGTGCGATCATTTCTGCTGCTTCTGCTGTCTGATGAGTGACAGGCCCGAACACATGTCGCCTCACTTCTGACCCCTACCGGAGGATCCGAAGAGCTGCGGCGACAAAGTCTCGTGTGCTCGCTCTGCTCATTTTCTGTCACAGTGGCAATTGATTCATTTTTACTGTAGGGCCTCAAAGGGGACAAGTGTGCAGAGAGCCAAATGTTTTGTAATGTGGATTCAATGAAGACAAGGAGACATTTTCGACTAATTGAAATATATTTTGTACCATGCTAGGCTACCAGTGCTTTTTATAAGTGTTTTACTGTAACAATTTTATAAAAGGTCAATTACTGTATTACAGTATTTCAGAATTACATCATTTGATACAGAGAAAATTGTTCAAAGTACTGGTTTGGGAGCAGCAATATATTGTTGTTGAATTATTTTGAACTATTTTTTAAAGCCTGGTCCACAAGGCCAGCATGATTTTTTTTATTTACTTTTTACAAATTTTGATCATGTTTTAATTTTTGGATAGACACTTTTAATAAAATAAACTTTTGACAATTCTCAAGACCCATGGGTGATTTACCTTGATTCACCACTGGGTGGCGCCACAGAACTCCATCTCATAAACTCATGCCAACCTAGCAAATTTGTTGCTAGATTAGATGGTCCTTGCACTGCAGAACACGAAATCTATTTAAGTATACCGTAGGTACCCATCTCCGCCCCCTGATCCCTAACCCCACCCCTAATCCTTCCCACCTCCACCCCGTAGATCTGGATCCAACTCCGCCCCCTGGATCTCATGTAGGCTACTGCAATGAGGTGCTACTGGCTTTTTACCATAGCTTAAATTTACACTATACCTGAGAACCTTTTTTTTGTTCAAGAAGCAACAACATACTATTAACATTTATTTGCAGAATTTGAGCAACTTTTGAAAATTTGCTGTCTCAAACACTAAAATACAGACACATTTCCCCTCTAAATTATACAAAAACAATTTTCTCTGTCAAACACTCACAGTCCTGTCAGTCAAAACCAAAAAACATGGTCTGTCTCCAAAAGTGGTTGAGTCACAATTTTAAAATGGTGACTCAGAAAAAAATGCGTTGTTTATATTAGCCTACTTTTACAAATAAAATATGTGATAGTAAAAAAACACATGTAAACTTTATTTAATAAAGTTTACATTATGTAGTACTTCAAGGTGGCCAGTTAAAGGTAGAGTTGTCAATTTTGGAAATGCTAGCAATAGCAAGCTAGCTTTGAAAGCAGAGCGTCTCCTTCAGAGTGTCTCCAAAGCCACGTCTCCTTCAAAATGCATGAACACAACTCACACAGCAGCGTCACAATACAAGAGGACGGTGTTAAATTACCTTGTGTCTCAAAGCGCATAACATCAAAATAATAATGAGTTTAGACAACTTACAGAGCTCTAGTTGTACCACCTGACTGCTGCAGAGTCATTTCAGTGTTGATGACATAGAAACACATAAATCTGTGTCGGACACGAACAGCTCCAGGTAGAACGTCACAGGTTGCCATCTCTTAATTATGGTTATGACATGGTGTGAACGCAGCATGAGCTTGTTGTTTTGGTTCAGAAAGGAACTGTAAAAGGCGGCTGCTGTTTCTTTGTGGTTTCTGGTCAGTGTCTACAACTCTACATAACATTATGGAACTAGCTGATGGTGGCGTGTGATTTCTGTGCGAGTAGAGTCAATGGTTGGACAAAAATGATTTGGTCCTGTGATTTACACAGAAGTTATCCACAAGTTTCCGAGGGGCGCTCCTGTAAAAAATAAAGTGGGTGAAACTTCCGGTAAGGCGGCGGAAGTAGCATTCCAATGGTATTTTGTGTGTTAGTTAGCGAAGAGGCTAGCTGTTTTTCGGAGAATTATTTTACTATTTAAAGACGCAAATCTTTATGAGAGATGTCATTACGGAGCTCATGGACAACATGTGCTGTTCGCGGTTGTATGTATAACCGGACTAAACTAATACAGTGGCTTAAACGTGATTGTTTTGAACATAAGCCGAAAACGAAATCAGAGTGATCCTGCCAGAGCCCGTCTCTGATCCTGCCAACGACTGTAGTTTCCATCACCTCCCAAAAGACGACGAATCTTCCTGTGTACATTTGTTTAAATTCTTAATATTCTATAAACTCTATCAGCATGTGTTTGGCTGTTCGCTACTGATGTTACACCTAAACTCAGGATCAAAGCCTGAGTTAACAGAATACGAAATGTACCAGTTAATGTATTCAGGTTGCACATTCATTTATAATTTTGAATAAACTCCAAAGCACAATGACTAAGTGTGTATTTTTTATTTTAATTGTTTGTCAGCTCGCACAACTGTCTGTCACCATGCCTTGATGAGTATTGATTATTAATGTTTTTATAATACTCCCAACCAACTAACGTTACTGCGGAGGGTAAAGGTACTATTATTTCCTTTTTAATTTCATTGAGGTTGTGTTCCCACATCGTTAGCTAGTTTGGATCGCTATAACTTGAATCACTGTCAACTGTTGAATGAACGAGTGTCAAGCATGTCAAGTCGCGCTTTGTTTACTTCGAACCGGAAGACGCGCCCACTTTTGACGCAAGGCCTCATGGGGCGTAGGAAACTTATGGATATACGTTTTGACATTTAGACCACTTCTATTATTGATGCTATCAGGGTGTGAAGAGATTTTTAAACCAGTAGCCTATAACAAAAAGTGTTTATTAAACAAATTGCCTACCCTACCTTTAATTTGAGTAATACCATTATTCTACTTATCAGGTGAATCTTATCAAGAAGATGCCCTTGTAGTGTTGCTGGGTATGACTATATTGATTATAATATTTCTCTGGCTTCATGATCTTTCCTCTTCATGTGCTTTATTATCTCTTGAAAGCCTACGTTTAAAGCTTCATTGGGCTAATCACTTGTGTTCTTCTCTGAAGAGACCATTTAAAACCATTTTAATTGTTTCCTCTTCCACCCCTAAATCGTGTGGCTCAGCAGTTGTCTTCTGTCGTATCAATTCCGGAAGTCTGCTGAACACTAAATAAATAAATAAAAAATAAATGGCCACGCACTGGCAGAACCCTAAAGCAGATTAAATGCTAAAGCTTGCAAACAGGAGCTCTTTCCATTTCCCAGACTGCATCTCTGCTCAAGCTGTGTTTGACAGCCCAGGCACTGTGTGTATGAGCAACAGCTGAGCTTAACACATGATCCACAGTGCATTTCAAATCAGAGCAAAGCTCATAGACATGCGTAAACAGACAGGCTACAACTAAAACACACCATGATATGATCATGCTATATTAGCAATATCACTCACATATTTATATAGATATAAAATTAATCTTATGAAACCTGACCAGAACATGTTCAGGTCATATTACATAATTACATAATACGTAAGTCTAATTATTGAATAATTATTATATTACATTTTATTATATATTATTACTGTAATATAAAAAAATAAGATAAAAAAAATTAGCAGGTGGCTGGAGAGAATGCACACAACAAAGGAATAAAAGAAAACGAGTATTTAGGTCAAACAGAACAAATTACCACTCATACATTGACAATGACAAGGAGCTGAGATAACAGGGCATAGGTAATCAGGGTGAAACAGAACTGGTATGATGAACTAATTATCTAATGATCAGGAACACAGGTAAACTAAAACAGATCAAGCAAAACCAAAACAGAATAAAACTGTAACAGTGGCTCCACCCTTCCAGAAGGTGCATCCTCACGTTGCAACGATTCCACCTGAGGAGGAAGGGAGCTCTGGAGGAAAGTGTGGAAGTGGTGATGGGCAGGGGAGAGAAGGAGTCAGTGGAGATAGACACAATTGTGGTATGAGCCGGGGTGGAGCTTTAGCAGAATGCTCAGGCACTCAAAAAAAATTATATGTTGGCTTTAATTAATATTATTTCGTCAACAGGTTCCACATAAGTGGATTATGTTAAAGGGTTAGTTCACCCAAAAATGAAAATTCTGTCAGTATTTATTTACTCACCCTCATGTTGTTACAACCCCGTAAGACCTTCGTTCATCTTCGGAACACGAATTAAAGGGATAGTTCACTTTGAAATTAATTTTTGATATGTTTTAGCTTACCTCAAGGGCATCCAAGATGTAGGTGTCTTTGTTTCCACAGTATTTTCAATTTTGACATTTTTCAGTCAAACCGTTGTTGACTATCAGTCATAAACTGGAGTCTAAGGGGGTCCACCAAAAAGCATGCACAGAGAAGTCAAAATTAAACATGATTTAATGACTTGTAAATGTAAGTACACATTGATGGCCTAAGACACGAAACGAGTGGTTTTTGTAAGAAAACGAACAGTATTTATATCGTTTTTACCTCGTGTAATCCAAGTGATCTGAATCAGTTGTGCAATGTCCAACTGAACCGAACTGAATCAGTTCAATGTTACGCCGGAAGTGATCGCTTGCGTGTGACGTCACTCAATATTTACATGTTTAGATATACCGAACATATTTAGATATACCGAAATCGTCTTCCATTGCGGTTTCCCGTATATCTAAATATGTTTAGTGAAAGGTAAAACTTCCGAAATCTCTGTATGAGTGATGTAGGCGCACAAGCGATCACTTCCGGCGCATGCGCAGACCGAAGCGCCCGTGCTGTCAGATCATTTTGTCATGGCTATGATTACAAGAGGTAAAACGATATAAATACTGTTCGTTTTCTCACACAAACCGTTCGTTTGTTGAACATATATCAAAAGGCATAAGCCGATCTCGGATGAAGTGAGTGACGTGAGTGACTGGTTGAGGACCAGCATCTCAGAACTCATTTGAAACTCATTTAATGCATGTTCTGACCAATACAACTATTAAAATGCAGTATTTCACCTGCCAAAAAGTGATTGAAGTCTCTACTTATTGATTGAAAGGTAAAATGTATTGGGTGAGTGCTATTACATAGCACATAAGCTGATGTTTATTTGCACGTTATGTCTGTTTGATCCACATAAAAGCAACTGTATTTGTAAA